CTACTTAAATTTTAACATTGTTAGAAACCTTCTTTCTTTGTAACAATTGATTAGTATACAATTTACTGTCATTTTACAGCATAATTATAGAGGTCATTATTAATGTTTTGAACTAATACTAATCAATGATTCCTAAAATTGAAATTTTTGAAATATATTTTAGAATTCAAAGGATTTTATGAGTTGCTTTCTTGATCTATCATTGAAGTCTCACATAAAAACATATTTTATACAGGCTACGCACATTAAATTCTATTTTTGCATAAAACATGACTTCATATTAAGAGAGGCATTTTATTATTTTGAAAATGTGGCGAAAAAATTTGTTGCAGAATATATTTTCCATTAATTTATTTTCTACATTTTTATTTCTACACTCACATGTTTAGTTTTATATTTATGTTTAATTGATTCGGTAGACATTTAATAAAGTTTTAAAGGCTGTAAACACGTCACAAATTGTTTATTAATTTACTTATACATTAATTTTGTAAAAGTTTCTTTCTTGATCTAGCATTGAAATCTCCAAGAGAAAATTACGCAAGAACCGCATATTGAAATCAATTTTTGCATGTAATACGATTTAATACCAAAAGAGACATTCTTTTATTTTCAAAATGCGCCAAAAGATTTTGTCCCAGAGAATATTTTTCATTAATTTATTTTCTACGTTTCTTCTACGTTCAGATGTTGTTTTACGTTTATGTATACTTAATGAAGATTGAGAATTGATTGTAGAATTTCAAAACGCGTCACTATTTATTAAAAAATTAATTTTGTAGAAGTTCCTTTCTTGATCTAGCATCGAAGTCTCCATCAAAAAAACACATTTCATGCAGGGAACGAACATTAAATCCCATTTTTTTCATATAACACGACTTCATACTAAGACAGACATTTGCTTATTTTGAAAATGTAGCGAAAAATTTTGTTGCAGAATATATTTTTCATTAATTTATTTTCTACATTTCTTTTACCTTCAGATGTTTAGCTTTATATTTATGTTTAATTAATTCGGCAGACACTTAAGAGATTCAGATGCATGTTAAATGTAATAAAAGCGAAACATTGGTGATCGTCACTATTTTATAAAAATTACTAGGTCACAACTGCATCAGTACAACATACCTTCTTTTAACGTTTGAAATTAAATTACTCTGAAGAAGGTATAACTAGAAATCTTTTCGAAGTCAAATAATGTTTTGTTCCCTTAACGGACAGATTGTTTTATATTTATTCCAAACTCTTCAAGACGAATCGTTCCATTTTTCGAAATCGATATTTGAGTGAGGGTTCTATTCCATGAATTGTCTCTTTAATTATAAGAGAGTATGTAACAATGTCTTAATCATCCGCATTTGACATAAAGATATTACTGATATTTTTTACCTAAACACAAACCGGCCGAATCTACAATTTATTATTGGACGCTACAAAATCTTTCCGGTCGAATTTACCATTGTAATTAACAAAAACCTATTAAATCTGTCAATTTTACAACCACCGATAGAAAAGAGCAGCCGGAAAATGCTCAGATTAATTTAAGGATGTTTGGGAGGTATGTCAAAATGCTACGAGACAAATTAAAATTTGGAAGAACGTTCCTCATTCAATTTTAAAACTCCCGTAAAAATTAGAAATCGATTCACCGTTAAAAAGTTATTGAATTTATTTTACACGTCATTTTATGGAGATTCGTTAATCGAACAGATTAAATTTATTTTAATTAACAGAAAAAAAACTACGAGAAATTTCAAACTTCTATAATAAGTAACTTGAACTCTGGAGAATCACTTTAGCATAAGGTTATTCAAATTTACTAAATGGTAATCGAGGAAAAAATGAAAAATTAGCTGAAAATCTCGTTTTTACTTGATAATATAATGATAATATTTATAATTGTCTGAAATAAATGCAATTTTAAAGTTTTAATTATTATTTAAACATATTAAAAAGTTTTACGCTCATTATTAATAGAGATTGAAACTAAATATTTTTTTGTTTCGAAGTTGAAATCAAGGCATATTCACTGCCAAAAGTCAGTTAAAAATTTTCCATATTATTCGTTATTTCTTATTTTATTCAAAGTTTTTGGTCAAATTCCAAATTTTCTCTCAAACCGTATACTTTTTTTTAGTATAGATAGTATTTATTTACCTCATGATATGCTGCAAAACCTAATTAATCACGAATTTATAATTTTATGTACTCTTGTCTTCGATTGTACTTCCCAAACATCATTAAATAGACACAAGACTAGCAGCCAATTAGAAAACGAGTGATTCAAGGGTCCTACGTTAGATTGCTCTGTTATTTAAACTACTAATTTTATACGTATATTTATGTTCCTAGGACTCTTCTGTAGAAAAATTACGTTGTACAAAAATAGTCCTATTTATTTTGGACCTACCTGACTTAGTTTTCTAAAGGAAAGCGAACAAAGGCCATGCATGCGTACCTTTTAATTATGAAATGGAAACTATCGATTTGAAGGTGTGTTAAATATATTTTCAAAGATAAAGTACTTATTTTACGGTTGACCTGATTTGTTTATAGTCAGTTTATATAAGTAAAGTGAATGTATTTTATAGTGAAATCTATTTTTTAAAGTTAGTTGTAATTGAGTTTTATTTTAAAGTGTATTTGGTTACATTTAAATTAAAAAAGGGAACTTATGCATTATGATACAGTTAACATATCTACTGTATCAAAAATATTTGATTGCGAATATATTATCTCATAGAAATATGTTGTTAATTACTGCACAAATTACCGAGTTCGAGAATGCTAAAAAATAATTCAAATACTTATTTCTGCTAAAGTAGATCCATTTAAATCGTGCCTAATAGGTAACCGTAAATACAGTTCTCATAATATTTATATGGAAATGCGTTAAGCATGGAAAAATTAAACTTCATTTAGATTATTGCAAGTGCACCAACATCTATGAATATTCATGATACCTAATAATAATCAACAATAAAGTGTATTCTAAAAAAGTACATTTCCTGGTGCACATTATTAAACCACATCTGTTTAAAGAGTACCTATTTGCTAATATAATTCTTGAATTCTATAATAGAACAGTTATAAATTTTTAAAATATTCTCACATAAATTGCCTCAAATGATGCCTTAACATTAGTTTAGATTAAAAAGTTATGCAGTAGCGTAAAAACGAAGAATTAATGAAGTTTTTGTAAAAATAACATACCTAGAAACCGTTAATTTTCTGCGCTGCTTCATTACATTTCTTTTTAAAATTATTTTTCCATCAATTTAGG